AGAGTTGGCAGGCTCAGGGCTTCGTCAGATAAACTTCAGATATGCAGGCTGAGCCTCGCGGATTTTGAAAATTATCATTTGTGCCACCCTTGGGCAGCGATGGAAAAAGTTGTCTCAGGTCCCCCCTCCTAAAGCAAACAGCTTGTGTTCTGTGGGAGTGCCTAAGAAATTGGAAAACTTGCTCACGATTCAACAAAATTAACCTTTGAGCTTTCCCACAAAGGAGCAGGGGGGTGTTAATTATTATTTTTACCTTTTTGGACTCGTCTAGGTGCCGTCTTTTTTGTAGGGGAGTTGCTTGGAATTTGGCCCGTGTGCCTCACGCTGCTGACACAGGGTTGTTCCCTTGGTGTGTAAATTGTTGCCATGCAGAATCCTGGTGGAATATTACTATTACTGACTACACACACACAAAAAACAAAATATGAAAACAATTCCCAGAAAAAAAAAGAAAAAAGTAGAAATTAGGCTTTTTAGATTCTGAGGTCTTGTCTTTTTCTCTCTCCTGTGAACAGCTGGAGTTGCTTAAAGTAATTTCAGGCTTGAATTGGGGTGTTAAATGCAGTGTCTTTGCCTGGTTTATGTTAAATGCTGCCAGTAATCCCTTGCAAGTTTGTTTTGAAAGGACATCAAAAGGAACCTGTTTTCTCTTGCTAGAATACCCGGGTTCTGCTCTGGTTTGTTGCACTTCCTAGGGAGCTGAAGTGACTTCCCTGCTTGGGTTTGCCTTTGATTGAAAAACCTCGACTAGAGCAAACCAGGCAAGTGCCTTTTTCTTTGTGCTTTTCTTAATTGATCGTTTGGATGTGGCATGATTTGGACCCCGTGTTATCAAGAATACACTTTGAACAAAAAACCTGTGGTAATTCCATAGATAATAGCCCCAAGTGGAACATAGACTAAAATACGAACTGCTATTTGATGGCTTTGTGTTTTAATAACAATATTTTGATAACCTTTTCTCTGCCTAAGTCATTTTGTTGTAGGCAGGCATTGAGCTAAAACAGTGATTGGAGAACAAAATATTTTCACTCACTGCTGCATCGTTTCCCTGTGAATTTTGAGCACTGGAAAAAACATTTTGAGTTGGATTATTTCTTCTTTCTGAGCGCCTTGCCTCGCACGCTTTGTAAACTGTTGTCAAAATACCATCCCAGGGCTGCCAGGCGAGGAAACTCCAGTGGGAGCTTTACAAATATTTTGGAAAACAAATCTTTTGTTTCTTGAGTGTTGCCTCGAATAGTTTCCTACTTGAAAGCACGTGTGCTTCTTGGCTTTTTTTTTTTTTTTCACCCTATCGCTTTTCATTGGCCTTGGCGAGGTTTCATTTGGGAAGTGAATTTGCCCCTCGAATCCGAGTTCTCCCAGAGCAGCGGGCAGGGCCTTTCCCATCTCCCTCCCGCTGCCGTTGGCAGAGCTCCCCTGCAGCCAGGCGCAGGCCGCCGGGAGGAGCGGGCTCCGCACGCCCCCGTCACCGCCTTTCTGCACCGCAGATCGGAGCGGCCGGCGCAGCCATGAAGGACCCCAGCCGCAGCAGCACTAGCCCCAGCATCATCAGCGAGGACGTGATCATCAACGGCCATTCCCACGAAGATGACAACCCCTTTGCGGAGTACATGTGGATGGAGAACGAGGAGGAGTTCAACAGGCAGGCAAGTCGCTTCCCTCCCTGCCTGGCTTTGCTCTGCTGGTTTCTGGCTGAGGGGAGAGGTGCTGGGCCTTAGCGACCGGACTGCGAGGCTGGGGATCCTTCAGAGGTGGGTTTCTCAGATAGCCTTGCTAGGGAGAAGCCAGGGAACAGGCAGAGCTCCGTTCCTCTGGCAGTAAATACTTCTTGTCTGTAACCTTGGTGGAAAACACGGGAAGCATGGCTCGTTCTAAGGCATCCTTTCACCCCCTGCCTCTGCAGGCGGAGGGGGAAGGAGAAGCTGGCAGGCTTTACGTGGCACTCTGGAAGGGACGGGCACCTCTGGGCTGCTGAGCTGCGGAGGTTTCCGTGTGCTGGCGTGCCAGCTGTGGCAGCTCCCACCTGGATCTGTCCAGGCATGTCCTTGCCTCCCAGCAGGGCTGCTGCTCCCAGGGAATGGGTGGGTAGAGCTGCTGGGTGACAGTCCTGTGCGTGGCTTAGTGCCTCAGTGTCTCACAGCTGGCCTTCAGAGCTGCCTGGGAAGGAAGAGCTGCCAAAACAGGATCTGTCTGCAGCTCTCTCTCGGGTTCCAGAGGCACAAAGCTGATGTGGAACTCGGGTTGCTCCCAAAATCCACCTGCTCTTGTGCCTACACCAGGATGGTTTGTTCCCCCTTGGGTGGGATTTTCCTCCTGGGAGTTGTGTAGTTACATAGGGGGTGTGGAGCTCTTGGGAAGGGAGGCAGAGGCTCCATTCTCAGAGGAGAGGTACGAGCACGAGGGGACGGTGGTTTTGGGGACCTGTGGCAGCCTGCTCACCTGCTGTAGGCACATCCCCAGGGCAGCCTCAGCCAGTTAAACCAGCAAAATACAAACAGGCAATGTTACTCTCCAGGCATTTTGGGATTTGAACTTTGTTTAATGCTCCTGGAGCTGCTTCTGGAGGCACCTGTAGGTGTGTGACCACATAACAAAACCCCTGGAGCCGGGCGAGCCCTGCTGCAACACAAGCTGGTGGCTGCCTGCCCACAGCTGCCTCTTGCCCACACGCAGGATGGAGATGGTGCCACAGCAGCAGGACTGCCTGGAGACCACTGTCCTTGCTGGAGCACTTCACTGGGGACATCACCAGCTCAGCACTGGGAGAGTACATGCTCCGTGGGGGCTTGTCTGGATGGTGCTGAGTCCCCGTTCTCCAGAGCTCTGCACCCTGAGCACCAGGGGAGCTGGGCAGTGTTTGTTCCCAGCACAGAGCACCTGGATTTTACAGGAACCCCAAACTCTGGCAGTAACCTTTGTTGTTTGGTATTTGTGGTGACTGAATTTCCACTTGAGGATGTGTTTGACTTTGCAGTGGAGGAGAGACAGGAGAACTTGTTTGAGCTTCCACAGAGTGAACTTTTAAATCTGCCTGGAATAATTTTTCTGCTTGCTGACGCCTGGCAAGTCATCGACACCAGCTTCTCTCCCTGTTTTCCACTCCCAAGTGCCTTGATGGAAAATGTGTCAGGATGAGCTCCCTCCAAAGCTTGTTTACTGAACAACCGAGCAAAACTTTCCTTTAATCTTTGCAGTGTGTCAGCTCTGCATCAGTGGTTTCCTCCTGCTCGCAGTGCAGCAGGTCAGTGCTCTGAGCAGCTGTGAGTTCCCGAAGAGAACTGCAGGGAGCTGAGGAGATGCTGCTTGCTCCTCATGCCAAGGGACAGGCAGTGGTTATTTTTTTCCAGGAATCTTGCAGGAAGCTTTCCTAGGGGCTGTGCCTGGCTGCATGCGTTATCCCCGCTCCCTTTCCCCACGCCGCAGCGAGTTCAGTCCAGACTTGCTGGTACAACCGAAATTTTCACTTGGAACCAACGTTTCCCTTCTCCTTGAGCTCCTAACAAGCTGCAGATGCGACAGCTGGGGCTGGGGGGTTCTCCTGCCGTTTGTTGATGGAGATGTTTCTTCTTGTCGTGTAGATCGAAGAGGAGTTGTGGGAAGAGGAGTTTATTGAGCGCTGCTTCCAGGAGATGCTGGAAGAGGAGGAGGAGCACGAATGGTTTATTCCAGCCCGTGATCTCCCACAAACAATGGATCAAATCCAGGACCAGTTCAATGACCTTGTTATCAGTGACAGCTCATCACTGGAGGATCTGGTGGTAAATTCAGTTTCTCTTCCTAGTTCTAAAGCTTGACATCCCTTTGTCCAAGGCTGATGTTTTGGGTTTTTTTTTATAATGGTTAGAGAATGGGCAGCGCTTTTAGACTCCATTTAAGAGCACAAAAGCCTAATCCTGCATTTCTTTGGGATAAAGAGCTCAGTTTGGAGCTGCTGGCTGCCCACCTGTAATCACAGGGGCTTGTGGAGCAGCAAGCAGCAGGACTGGGTAGTCAGCCATAGAAACTGCCCAATCACTCCAAACCTTAAATTTGCAACAGCAGCTTCAGTTCCTGGAACAACGAACCTCATGGCACGTTTTAACAGCTCAGCTTCAGGAAAAGTTCCTTCAGTGAAGCTGCTGTGTGTGTGTGCTGGTGGTTACCTTGTCGCATGTTCCCTGAATCCTCTGACCAAGGTGTGCAGGTGGTGCTAAGGAAGGGTGGATAATTCAGGTGAATTATCAGAGGAGAGGGGTTTCGAGGGATTATAGAGACTTGTGACACATGCAGGGACCCCGTTACATGCCTGTTTCTCTAAATCTGTGAACTGTCTGAATTGTATTCCACTTGAAAATAGAAGATGAAAATGATTGACCTCAACTTCTGTTTTTTCCCTTCCTCAGGTCAAGAGTAATCTGAATCCAAACGCAAAGGAATTTGTCCCTGGGGTGAAGTACTTAAATATTTGAGTAGACTGGGCCCTCTCTTGGTGGATGTAGCACAATTTCCACACTGTGAAGCCAGTATTAGAAGATTTAATTGTAAAAGCTCTCTCTTCTTGTCACTGTGTTACACTTATGCATTGCCAAAGTTTTGTTAGTCTTGCATGCTCAATAAAAAGTGCTGAGACTGTTACTAAGTAAACCTGTCAAAAGTTTAATGGCACCCTAACTGGGCCCTGGCTCTGGGAAAGGAGGCGGTGAGGTAAGAAGCACCAGTCAAGTTGGGACAACGATGAACCACCTTCCTAAAACTTTCTGCAGACTCTTTTTAAACAGGACTTGGGATTTGCTGAGGATGGTCTGGTCTTTAACTGGAGATGTGTAAACTGACCCTAGTTTGCACCTGATCATGCCTTAACTTTAAAAAAAAAAAAAAAAAAAAAAGGAAAGCAAGGATGTCTGATGGTTACGCGAATTGGCTCCTCTGGAGTGTCAGCGATGGGTACTCACGTTCACTTTTCCCCCTGAACAAAATCTTCCTGCTCCTTGGAAGCAGCGTGAGCTTTAACCGAGCCTGCTCAGGCCTCCGCAGAGCCTCAGACCCAGCTCCCCCGCTAACGCCCGCGCGCTCGGCAGGCAGAGCCCCCCTCCTTGGCGGCGTGTAATCATGCTAGGAACCCTCCGCTTCCCGATGACCTTCATGGATTTGAGGGTTTCCTCACGATTTCTTCCAAGGCCCCCCCAAACCTACAGGGCACTGCCTACGTAACTCGTAGCGTACGACTCGATTAGAGCGGGATTTAATGGAGAAAACCCCAGCTTTAGTGATTTGAGTGGTGCTTTTCCCTTGCTTTGTTTAATCATCACTACATGATAGTCTACAGCACAACAATTTTGTTTTGGTTTTGGTTTTTTTTCTGTTTGTTTTTTTTTTTTTCTTTTAATAAAGCTAGAACAGTTTTGGCTTCTTAAACTTCATATTTGGGTAGGTTAAGCTGCCATACGTGTTCAGTGTGAATAGTGTTTAAGTTGAAAATATTGTAAAAAAATTATATTTTTTCAAAAATATTTAAAAAAAATAAAATAATAGTAGAACTCATGTGGTGGCTGTCTGGTGAATATGCATCTTACATGGGAACTCTGCTGGCAGTGTGTGGAGGAAAGGGATGGATGGTGGTGTGGGTTCACACAGGGCTGGAGAGGAGCAGCAGAGGGACCTGGGGGCGCTGAGCCTGGAGCAAAGGAGGCTCAGGGGAGCC